GACACCTGCTCATCACATCCTGCACGGCAACATCACAGCAAACCCTAAGCCCCAAACCCTAAACCCTAAATCCTAAGCCCTAAACTCCAAACCCTGAACTCCAAAGCTCCGATCCTGGCTTGCTCTGAAGAGACGGTCCAAGCATTGAAGGCGAGGAGGTGAATCCTGGGCCATTCAGGGCTTTAGAGTTTATGGTTTAGGGGTTTAGGGGTTTTGGCTGTAGGGTTTTGGGTTTTAGGGTTTAGGGTTTTCGGGTTTAAGGTTTTAGGGTTTACGGTTTTAGGCTTTAGGGTTTTAGGGTTTAGGGTTTTAGGGTTTAGGGTTTAAGGGTTTTAGGGTTGAGAATTTAGGGTGCGTATGGGAGTTACCCAAAGTTTGGGTGATTTTCTTGGGGCCCCTATAGAGTTACAGCATCTTCGGGTTTATTTGGGGCTCGATGCTGACTCCCCTACGTAGGGAAACTACCATTAAGGCCGTGCATTATGTACACAGAATTCCGGGCACCGATCGAGCAGGCTATGTGCGGAGTACTTTGCAAGCATTTGGGTATATGAGATAAAGGCATTAGGGCGCATGCTTTAGAGGGTTCTAAAACATTATGGGCTCCATAGGGCCTCTATGACAAGGATTGCTTTCTGTTTGCCGTGCTGAGACAGGACAGACACACCCTTTTGCAAAGATTTTGCAAGGGTTCAGAGGTTTCCTCCAATGGGACCATCCGATCAAAAGGCTCGTTGCAATAATTTCTCTTTGGGGCTTAGACACTTTGACACGTAAAGGACTGAAAAGTCTTACCCAACTTTGCCCTAGTTGCTTCCTAGTCGTCTGGCACGTAGCAAAGAGTACCTGCCGCTTCAACTGCGTCCTTCCGAATCCGAAACACTCCCACCATGCTTCTGCAATGAGGCGATCAGTCTCAGCGGGATTGGACTTCATGCTTCTCAAGTGATTCAAGACTTCTCCCTTCTCAGACTCATTCGGCACATCCTGGCAATAGAACTTGACCATCATGCGCAAGATCGTTCTGAGCCGGGTGTTCATCATAAGCTGGTTCTCTTGGACGGACACTAGAGACCCAAGTGGATACGGAAGGAGCAGGGCAACAGTCACTGTCAGGAAGCCCAAGATAGTTCGAATCAATTGTTGCAAGAGGGTGTCTGTGTGCAAGGACCAGTTGCCTGCCCAGGGTGGTGTTATCGTGGCTTGCTTGTCCTTGGTTCACGCTTTAGGGTCAAGGGCTTAGTGAAGTTTAGGGTTTGGGATTAAGCGTTCACCATTGTTCACATACGTTAAAAACGGAAAATGTTTAATCCATACTCGGTTCGAGTATAGACAGAAATCTAAAATGATAGTCAACCGCAGCCCAGTTTCAGGATTTAAGATATCCATCCATATTCCTGCGAAATTAGAGATGGCAAACATCTGGAATGACAGGTCCAGCTTCAGAAGCATCACGACACAGACATAGGTGACGCCAATAGCCACAATGAGCCAGAAATCCAGGTCCTCCGGGTTTAGGGTTTAGGGGTCCGGGTTCCACACTTGAAGGGTAAGTCCACCCAAACACCCTAGCTCCTAAACCCTAAGCCCCCAAAAACAACCAGTAACCCTAATCCCTGAACCAAAACCCCTACACTGGAATCCGTAAACCCTCAAAATTCAGGTCCTTCAACTCGCTCAGATACTCTCAGCCCCGTCAGATCCCTATCTAGCACCCCTGGGAGCCCGATACACAACAAAAGAAATCCTTCAGGGCTTAGGGCTTTAATTCCATGACCTCCATCCTGAATCCTAAGCCATGAGCCTTGAAACCTAAACACCTTAATGTGAGTCCACCAATTCTCTCAGATACCCGAATCTCAATTCTTAAATGCTACTGTAACCCCTGAAAAATGGGTCAAGGCGCATTGAAGACCAGAAGCCCTCGTCCTAAACCCCGAGCCAAAACAACCCTGAAGCAAGTGTCCTCCGAATCTTTCATATACCCAGTAGGCCAAATTGTGTAGAGACTCCAGCCCATGACAGCTGCTGCCAGGGTGCCTCAGCTATTCTGTTCTGAGGGGGGCGGGGGGGGAGACTGTGGCTCAGGTAATTCAGATTTTGGGGATTCATGGTTAAGGGCGTGCGCGTCTAGCGGCGTGCTATGACTTTTTGATTTCTGTTCTGTTGGGGAGCCCGGAAATCTTGTTCAAAATCCTGTTGTAGGAGTTCAGGGAAAAGAGTTCCTTGCAAGGCAAAATCATTTGCTCTGGTACCTGACTTTGGGAGTCTATTGCCTGGCAGCCCGAAGGGCTCACCGTGGACCATGATGGTTTAGGGTTTTAAGGGCTTTTTAGGATTCAAGAGTCTACCCATCCACCGAAGGTATGTAGAATAATGGCACGTTTAGGGTTTAGTGTTTGAGGTTTAGGGTTTAGGGTTGGGCTATTGTTTTACCTACTTTTGGGGCCTAGGTAGGGGTGTTGAAATATCTCCGCCTCTGTGCTGCCAGGCACAGTGCAACAGAAAACCCGCCGGCCTCAGCTTGCCTCAAGCCTTGTCTTATATTACAATTATGACTATTATTACGATAATCATTATTATTACCTCATTATTACTGTTATTATGACTATTCTTACTGTTGATGCTATTCTTACTATCATTTACTGAGGGTTAGGCGGGAAGACGGGAATACATGATAGGTTAAGGGTTTAAGGGTAGCAGGCCCTGTATGGTGTATTCCCTTGTTCCCACTAACCCCCAGTAGGTTATGCCAAAACCCCAAACCCTTGAATTTGCGCTTTAGGGTTCAGGGTTTAGGGGTAGGATTCAGGTTGTACTCATTACAAGCATCTCCAACAGCCGTAAAGAAACCTGCGGCAAACACTCACAAGCCTGACCACGAACTCTAAGCCGCAAAATCCCAAATCCTGATCCCGGACACGAATCCCTAAAGCGCAACCCCATATAGCTGGGTTCGCTAAACCCTCATGCCTAACCCTAAACCCTAGACCCAAAAGTTCCCACGGTATCCCCATATAACCCTACTTGCCATTTCAAAGCTCTGCATGTTCTTTCCATTTGAGTCTGCAGTAATTATTGGGGTAGTGGTCCCCAAACCCGCAACCCAGCCCTAAACCCTAAACCCTAAACGTCCGGGTGCCTCGAAATCCCGAGTTCACTAGAGCGAACGCTGCTCCAAACCTTGGCCCCCACTTGTTTAGAAGAGTCGGGTGTATAGTCCCCCTTAAGTAGATAGAATATGGTTTCGGGTATATTATAATAAGATCCCCATATACCCCATATTCTATCTACTTAAGGGGGACTATAATTTTGGGGCTCAGGGGGCTGATAAACAGCTTCAAGGGCATGACACAGAGTCTGTTCTCATATAAGGGTTGGCTTAGGGATTACTGTAATCAGGGGCCGATTAAGTAGAACTTTTCTGCTATGTTTACTGGAGGATTACCAAGGGATAACGTTGGTGACTATTCAGGCTTCCATGTTAAGGGATGGGATTGAGAGCTTTGTCGAAATCATGGATTCAGCATGGGGTCTAGATTCAAGCTTCAGTTTCTTGCTTTTGTAATAAATATGATAGGGATGTATAGGGGGTTCTATAGGGATAGTGGAAAATAAGACGGAAACTTTTATATGCAGGGTTTACATTGGGATTGTATTGGGCTTGAGAAAATTATGGGCACCATTTTGGATGCTATCGTTTCGTGGACTGCATTCTCCTGGGACCCTGTGACAGGAAAGCCCACGTTGCGGAAATGCTCATTCGCGTAGCATTCAGAGGCCTAAGCCCCAAACCCCATAGGGTTAGAGGCGTTTTGGGTGTAGATTTCAACCCTGAAGCCAGAAAAGTCATAACAAATCCTACGCGGAGCGTCAGGGGAGCTAAGCAAATCTCTGTAAGTATGCCCAAGGAGGATCTTCTCAGAAAGGAGGTCTAAAAGATCCTAGGGATAGGGATTATAAGGGGATCATGAGATTATCTATAGGGCTTAGAGTTTAGAGTTTAGGGCTTAGGGTTTATGTTTGGGATGATATATGGTGTCAGAAACTCCTATACACCTGACTATAAGCCCTGCAATAGCCCTGCTTCTCCCCTCCGTCAACCTACCGACTAAGTCCCCCTCCACCTAGACCCTGAACGCTAAACCCTACATACTACCAAGTGTCCCAAACCTCCAAGTAAACTTCTGCAGAGAAACGTGCGACCGAGGTTGAAGATGATAAAGCAACAGACGCTGCTGTCATAGATGCCATAATCCTCGGTCAAACATATAGGGATATATTGGGACATGTTGGTGTTTAGGAAATAGTGGAGAGGGGTTAGGGAATATTGGAGAATCAAAGCGGAAACTGGAAGACGGAATGGAATCGGTTTATATACGGGGCCTATGGGGACAGTATGTGGAGGATTACCTACTTGAAGGCTCAGGTGACTTACTTAGTAAGCCCTTAATCTGTTTATAGCCGAATTTTTGCAGACTGACCTACTGAGTCCCATGAGTTTTCCGACAGTTGGGTTATGACAATGAACATAGGGGTCATGCTTCTGGTGAACTCTTTCGTTGTGCTGGAAATGCAAAAACAAAACTGGTCTGAAAGTGACCGAGAGTCGATCATGAAATCTACCACGTGCCATGTCCCCTTTGGTACAATTACCGGAATGGCACCTATCAGCAGGAAGAACGCCCCTCGAAAGGCTAGCTCCAAGTTGAGGGCAAAGCGAGGGTTCGTCTCATGCAGAAATAACTTCTGCACAGGACGGCGTATGCAGCCTGCATCCACTTGCTTGTTATCAAAGTCGAAGCTATCATCAATAAGAGGGGCCTCCTCCAGGCAACGAGCAGAAACAGGAGAGTCACGCACAGCGGACATATTATCAACCGGCGTGAGTCGTGTCCGTGCACCTTTGGCGCATGGCAGCCTTTTTTGAACGCGGCCTGATGGGAAGCTAGAGCACGAGACGGCCGCAAAACGTGTTTCGCAAGTTGCATGTGTCTGGGTCTTCTGTTCCTTGAATGGCACATCCTGAAACGATGCTGCTGCCTAGTCCACACCTGACAAGGAGGTCCTTGAAACTACAGAAATCGCTCAGGGAGGAAAATAGAGTATGCCCAAGGAATCATGTAGCGCTTGATGAATAATGCCCCTGTGTCAACACAGGGATTCGAATGGGAATCTTACTAATAGGAGGGTATTTGGTAGTTTCCCTAAATAAAAGGGGAACCCCAATATAGACCCCAAAATACCATAATCCTTACTATGGGGACCCCCAAGAAGGTACCCCTTAATGCTGGGAAACCCACATTTATTTGATTACATTTCGGGACACGAAGGAGACTATAGGACATTACCTGGATATAACTTCGGACTTTCAGAGGGATTCTAGGGACCCTTCAGGGCGCACATAGGTTATATAGTAGGTATACAAGGATCCCAGGGTCCTGGGTGCTTCCCGACCTGGTCAGGGCTTAGGGTTTAGAGTTTAAGGTTCAGGGTTTAGGTTTAGGGTTTAGGTTTAGGGTTTAGGGTTGATGGAGCCAGGGGTTTATTCATGGTGCAGCTTGGGGTTTAAGCTGCGTTTCACCTCCAGGCTTTTGGGATGCTCAGAAGGATGTCACAACAGCAAGCAGTCATACATCCCCTCAGCATAGTCACAGCCCCCCGTCCTAAAAAGAAACATCCCAAAAGTAATCTCTATGGTCAGGGGGTGAGGGTTTGAAATAGGGGGCAGGGGGTTTCCAGACAATCCCCAGGAACCTCCTAGTACCCTTAAATGAGGGTATACGGTACCAAATAATGGGGATTCAGAGTATATAGAGGGTAGAGGGAGGGTCTAGGAACTTGAAACGCAGAAAAGCATCCTAAAAACTCTTGAAGATGAAACTTTTCAGCCCCCTGAAACATCCTGAAGCCCTGAATCTGAAACCCTAAACCCCTAAACTCAAAATCCCTAAAACTGAAGCCCTAAGCCCCTAAACCCTATATCCCTACCGTATTTTGCAGGGCGAATTATTACAATAACACGCGTCCTGAATCAAGGCCATTTTGGGTTATATAACCAATAGTCTAAACTCCCAAACTCCCAGTATCCGCCTCAATAAGATCTGCAGATAACCCTAAACCCTTAAGCCCTAAACCCCTTTAAAACGCTAAAACCCTAGACCCTAAAACCCTCATTCCCTAACACGCTAAGCCGTAAACCCTAAAAACCCATTAAAACCCTAAAACCCTAAAACCCCAAGCCGCTATAGTTTGCTCAGATTGAATGGGTCTGGCTAAACCCTAAACCCTAAACCCTAGACTTTGGCCTTTGGAATCCGGCGAACAGAAGGAACCTGGCATGGCAACGACGCCATTCCGTCTCATGCCTGCTTGAGAAGCAGCCAAGCGGGCTAGTGTGTAGGGGTTTAGGGTTTAGGGGTTTAGGGTTTAGGTTTTAGGGTCTAGGGTCTAGGGTTTGGGGTCAAGGTTTAGGGTAGGTGGAGATATGGTGGACACGAAAATTCGCGCATGACCGCAATTAATCTAAACCCTTGTATGGTCAGGCAGGATTTTAGCATCAACAGTAGGATTCTTAGGGGTGTATTGGGGACGGGATATAATAGGCATATTTTGGGGAAACATTGGGGATGGGATGTATCAGGAAGGCACCAGGGCGTAGGTTGCAACTATAGCTTTATGTGTTTCAGTGATGGAACATAAAATTGAATGAAAAAACAGAAAGTGACATGGAAACTGTCATGAATCAGTGGGTCTAAGGGTTCAAGGGTTCTTGGGTAAAGGATTCAGAGTTTAAGACTTAGGGTGTAGGCTTAAGGGCTAGGGCTTGGGTTGGGGGGTGCCGGGCTACGAGCTTAGGAGTCGAGTGCGGTCGAGGGCTCAGGGTTTAGGCTTGTAATGCTGAGATCAGACCATAGGGTCTAGGGATGCGGCCAGAACGAAGTTAGGGTTTAGGGTTTAGGGTTTGGGGTTTAGGGTTGGCAGCTTCAAGGGAAAACTGTCCGACGGTTCATGAAGAACGTCTTGCATGGTCTTATGCAGCGAAGTAAGTAAATGTGAATAGTGAACTATACTCGGTGACAGGCAAAGCCTTCCGAAATATCATCTTTCCAAACCGTGGGGTCCTCTAGATACCACCGACACACGACGGTGCTTCTTATACACCCCACCCCACCCCCCCAACAAAAAAGAAAAAAGGAATCCAGAGTCCTTGAAACTGCCCATTGTCGTGGCACGACGGTGCCAGAAGGCACACCAATCGTTTAGTTATTGCAGGGTCTGAAATTAGGACAGTGAAGTTGATGATCATTTAAGCTCCTGTATTGAGCGCTCCAAACATGCAGTCTCTTTGGCATGCCCCACGTGAGAAAACAGAAATATTCCAGCATTAGAAACTTCTTCGGGACCCAGAACCTGCAAAAAGTCCAAGCACTGCCCATACTGGGCTTCCAACTTTCCAGGAGAGACTCGTTGGAAAAGGCCGCCGGATGCGTCATCTTCAGCCATAGAAACATGCCAGCCTCGGCTTTAGGGCTTAGGGTTTGGGCTTAAGGCTTGAGGTCTAGGGCTGAAGGTCCAGGGTGTTGAGGAAGAAAGGGAGAACTGATCGTTTTGGGAAACTCCCATAGGTTTAGATTTTAGGGCTCAGGCTTCATAACAACCCTCATTCTAATGCCTGCAGGAGGAGAAGGCAACGCAGTTAGCAACAGACAATGTATTGAGAGACAACGAAATACCCCGCAACATAGCTGCATCGTGTTACAAGCTCATGCTCTACACCCTAAACCCCCTTCAAATGTCCTGCAGTAAATGAGGCCATGGAAGATTCAATGTCAACGGGTGAGGGAGGCATGCGTCATAAGGGGGAGAAGAATTCTCCAACCTAAAGCCTGAACCTAGACCCAAAACTTTAAACCTCAATCCAGCATAATTACCTACTCTCCCGGGGGGCCAGGGTTTTAGAGCCAAAGGTTTAGGGTTTACGGGCTGGGAGGATTAGTGACACTCAGTTGCGGCGGGGCGGCTTGCGGATTGGTCCATGTGGCTAAGTCTGAGAGGTGCTCCTGCAAGGGTCGAGATGAGGATTTTGGGTATGGCACTAAACTCTAATGCCACAAATTTGGTTTAGGGATTAGGTTTTGCGGGTTCGGGGCTGGGGATTACGCTTTGGTGTTTTGAGGGAAGCCCCGGTAGAAATTTCCGAGAAAAATGTGGGGATCTATAACCGAAGAAAAACAATATCTGGGGCACAACACAACACCCCCAGTGTGCAATACTCTGCAACTCTACTTCTGAACATTGCAGACCAGGGGCGGAGGAGGTGATGGGTGTTTAAGCGGGAGCAGAGGAGTGGATCCATACAACTACCCCTACATGATTTGTTAGTCTACCCCAAGTACCATTATATGGTCCCTGAACCCTAAAGACTAAATACAGGACCTACGTTGCCTGCCCACTCAGCCCCATGCGCCAAGTACGGTGTGTTCGGTATCGGTGACCAGATCAACATGTGTGACATCTGGGGAGGCGTGTCTACAAAAGGAGGCCCTTACTCACTCTATAAGGGATTACAATAGTACCCCCCGCAAAGGTACCCCCCAGGGTTTAAGGAGTTAATAAGGACTATATAGGGGTACTATTGTAATCCCTTACTCTAGGGCAACAACAAGGATTCTACCTGGAAGATGGGGTTCCTTGTATGGGATTGACGAATGCTCATTCGGAGAAACTCCCATACGCTTCTTTGAGGGCTTTAGGGTTTAGGGTTCAGGGTTTAGGGACGTTTTGCTGCATATCGGGCTGGAACCTAAAGCTCTTGGCAAAGAACGTAGACAGAGAAAGGCCGTCGGGGCTGGCCCGAAAGCTTGTATGCTCTTCTCCAACCTGCCTGATACGTATCTCATCATTCATACTTAGACAAATGCTCCCTTCAGAGTCTCCTGGCCTAGGGTTTAGGGATGAGGGTTCAGGACCTTAGGCCCCAAACAATGCATCTACATGGTAGAAAAAGTGATGACTGTAATGATTTAATACATCCTCGCGTAGTCCGCATGTAGCTGCAGAATACATCAACTTAAACCAACATCTAAGCCCTTGGCAAGGCATCTAAGCTCCTGCTCTCCCATGCCTCCCAGTAGGCGGTACGGCTTAGGGCACTGTGAATCCCTGATGGGAAGCCCTATTAGACTTCCTACTGCTTCTCTTTGCTTCTTACGGTCCTTTATTACACCCCATGCTATATCTATAGCTACATGATCCTTGAACTTTTCCTTCAATCATCCGAACCCTGGGCCCTATAGGAAAACGGACGTTCACAGGCCGTTCACTTACACAGGCCTTAACCTCTGCGCACAACAAATTAACCAAAGAAACGACTACACTCCGTGGACCTTTGCGGCATGCTTTGGTCTCGATCCTCTGTAACTCTGAACCCTAGACCCTAAACCCTGAGCCTTGATCCCTAAAGTCCTGAGCTCTGAGTCTGGGTTGTAAACCCTGAACTCTAAATCCTAAAGCTGGAACCCTCACCTTAAAGGGGAGTGGAGGAGTGGATCCCTATAATAAGCCCCGTAGATACCCCTCAAGTACCAGTAGGTTAAGCCCTACACCCGAAGCCCTATAGTCCCCCTTAAGTAGATAGAATATGGCTTTGGGTACATTAAAAATAAGATCCCCATATACTCCATATTCTATCTACTTAAGGGGGACTATACGCCCTGAACTCACTGTGCCCTCCTCACAGGCACGCAGCAGCGCCCGGCATCGCCGTCGCAAGCCCAGCTGGAGGCGCTGCAGTTGTGCCTGGCGTCGTAAGAGGGTTTTAGGATTTAGGGTGTTAGGGTTCCGGGTTTTAGGGCTTAAGTGTTTAGGGTTCAGGGTTTTGGGGTCTTAGCCTACAGTTTAAGGTTAGGCTTTGCAGTTTAGGGCTTAGGGCTTAAGGTCAGGCTTTGTGGTTTAAGGTTTGCAGTTTAGGATGTAGAATAAGACCCAAGAATCCCCAGAACCCATTCCACCAATCCCTACTGAGCCCTAAATCCTAGACAACGAAGATGATAGTTTGAAGGTACTTGGAGGTTCAGCGGATTCGTAAGCCTTAGTAAGCTGGTTACTAAGTCCACTGACCCTGAGCCTTAAAACCTACACCAAAACGGTCCATACTTATGAGACCCCAAAATAAACGCCCACACACTACGAAACCCGCACTTCCCGCTAACCTTCTGAGTAGTCCCAACCCAACCCCAAACCCCCTAAACCCCCTAAAACCCCCTAACCCCCTAAACCCTAAACCCTAACCCTGGACCATGCGGGCCTGAAGCCCAGATTTCCCCCACTGCGCTAGCAGCGAGGCTAAGCAAACCATGGCAAAGGAGCTACCCTGCTGGGTGGAGACGTAGCACAGCTTCTCATAGGCCTGCTTGGGACTTAAGAGTTGGAGTTTAGGGTTTAGGAGTTTAGTGTTTAGGGGCTTAGGGTTTAAGAGTTTGGGGTTTAGGGGTTGAGGGTTTACGGGACTGGGATATTTCCCAATATTGAGGGGTACCTTTCCTCGTGATAAGGATTCTTATGCTAATTTGGGGTCTACATTGGGGCCTCCCTGGTTGGGAAACTACCACTCTGGGATTTAGGCTCTAAGGAGTGGGTTTGGGGGTTTAGGTCTCAATGAAAGCGTGAGCAAAGAAACACCCATCAGTGTGGCAGCAGGGTGGGGATGTCTGCAAAAAGCTTCTAGGACCCTCTGGCATGAAAATGCCCATATCCCTGGCTGGCAGTGGCGCCACCTTCTGGTGGAGTAGCCAAAATTCATATGTGACATGATAGAAGACAATTAAGTACAAACAGCGGTGCTGGCAAACGACAACAACCACCCACATTAACCCAGGACAACGATGACGACCCACCACTGCCGAAGCCGCCGAAGCAGCCACTACATGCGCAACAGCTACCGCAAAATCATGCTGAAACACCATAATGGTAGTAAGAACATTGACAATTACAACCATAGTGCTGGCAGAGGGGGTAGCTTGAAACATGCGAGCATCATGAAGCGGCTTCACTTCTGACAATACCAATGCTAATCAAGTGATACCTTAGGTGGACCCCCCACCCAGTAATAGTGACTATAAGGGATAATAAGGATTATATTAGGCTCCTAGTGTATATATATATATCATACCACTATTATAGGGTGGGGGGTCCTCCATAGTGATACCACACAAGCAGCAGAGGTATGTCTCACGCACGGTCTCCTACGTTCAACCCAAAATCACGTCATCCCATGCCTATACTAGACTCCTAGACCTCACTGTTTGAAACCTGAACCCTAAACCCTAAATCCTCAATCCTGACCCTTGACCCAAAATCTGACCCCGTCCCCATTCAGCTTTTAGGATTTAGGGTTTAGGGTTCTCTAAACCCTGAACCCTGAACCGCCAGGCCTCAATGAGCCGCCTGGGCCCGGTTACCCAACCCAGTCGAAAGCCGGGAGCGAGCATCTTCGCGAAGGAGTCCAAGCGAAACACAAGCCCTGGCGGTTTAGGGTGTAGGGTTTTTGGCCATGGTCATTCAGGAGTGTCAAAAAGCGAACACTAGGGACCCCCAGGGGTATAGGGGAATTCTGACGGGATTTTGAAGGTTGTTGTTTGGCCTTCTACAGGTCTGGCTCCTAGAGTTCTATTTGGGCTTTGGGATTCGGGAAGCACGGGTCAGAGGCGGAAAGTCCGAGTGGGGTAAAGGGGTGAGTTAGGACTTAGGGTCTAGAAGGCCGTTTAGGGTTGGGCTTGGGGTCCCCGGCAGTACCTGGTTTTCTAGTTGAGGGCTCTGAAAATCCGGGCTTTGTGCTTTATAGGCTAGGGTCTTCAAGGTTAACCTAAAACCCTGAACCCTAAAGCCTAAACCCTGAATTCTACCCTAAACCCTAAACCCTGGACTGCGTGGTATCAGGGTTTACGGTTTAGGCCTCGGAATCACCCTAAAATAAGGACGCGGCAGATTCTCTTTAGGGTTTAGGGTCTATATATTGCATAGGGACATATGAGGGCTATAGTGGGTTTATACAGGGTTTCTACAAGCACTTTATATGGGGTTTATACATGGTTTATACTGGGTTTATAGCCAGTTTGTAGAGGTTTCTATAGGGCTGCTATAGGGTATGGATAACGGAGAACCACATGGAAATGAACATGGAACATGAAACGGAAACTGGTTTAGGGGTCAGGTGGCCCTTGAGGACCCTTGGGATTCAAGCCACAACCCTAATTAAAACCCCACGCCCTAAACCCTTAACCCCACACCCTGGGCCCAGCTGGCTTCAGAACCCTAAAGCTATGAACCCTATACCCCACAACCTACACCCCTGACTTACTGGTGGTTACTAGGGAATAATGACTCCCCGCCATATATTCCCTTCCCTGATTCCCTACGAACCCTAAACCCTAAACCCTAAGCCATAACATGTATTCCCTTGTTCCCAACTAGGCACCAGAAAGTTGATATGAAACTACTTCCAGGGCCTTGGCGGTCGATGGAGACAAAAGTGGTCCCCAGCTTCTCCAGGCCTAAGTTTGTCGCATTGGGTTTTATGTAGGGCTTAGGTTAAACTAGGATGTTTGGAAGGTTTGTGTGGGTCTCAAAAAAGGTTGATATGGGGCGTATACAGGGTTTGTATGGGGTTTACATTGGGTGTACATGGGGTTGATGGGGGGCTGATAGGGGGGTTGATATGGGGCAGACCTGTCGACGAACGTTCCAAAGGATTCCCGCCATGTAAAGTTACCCTAGAAGGGGTGGTCTCTGCTTCGGCCTTAGTCCCCTCCCCCTAATATGAACCCCCCCACCCCCTCTCATATGATATATTCTCCATATACTATACCACAATGGGAATATTTTTTATTGGGGTGGGGTGGGGGGGGAAAGGGGTTGCACAACAGAAGCCGAGAGACCGCCCACAGCAAGCTCATCATCATCTGCCAGGTCATCATGCGCATTGTGCTGCTGGTAGAAATATGCGTCATCCTCCAGAATGAAGACTCCATGCTCTGCGCCTTGGGTTTAGGGTTTGGGGTTTAGGGCTTAGGGTCTGCAAGGTTCAGGGTCCAACCGCCTTGCCATGGGAGAAAGACAGCAAAGCCTGAAGCCCAGGAGCAATTGTGCCCGCAGTATCATAGCATGGCAGTGTCTTCACATAAGAACTCCTTCCCTGAATATACATAATTAATAATAACGCCTATCTCCTACTCCCGTGAACCTCAGAAAGGATCACTGACTCTTGAGAGACCCCCCCAGTACAGGAGCAAGCGACACATGTCGTAGATTGGCTGATAACGATCTTCAGGAAGTCGCGTGCCAAGGGGATTCTGCCCCACCTCATGCTTCCAGCTCCGAACACGCGATTTCTTGTGCTGTGTACAGCTTGGGGGGTTTAGGGTGGGTGCGCAGAAGTATTCCTACCACCGTCTTGCTGCAAGCTGTGTACAAATGCTCTTGTCCCATCAGAACCCTTCCGAACAAAACCTCCCGCCTTTGCGATATGCCCTGAACCCCCATTTTACTTACCAACCCCAAACACAAAACCTCATGCTGTGAGCCGCACCGGGACGGTATACAGGACCTTTGGAACTCTTCCTGCGCTTTGTTCGTCTTTGACATCTCTTCAGAGAACGATACGACGGGATTACCAAAATCGAAGGCCATTATAGGAACCCAGGGCTATGTGTGGGGGATAACGATCTTATGAGAGCATCTCTAAAGATCTCCACAGTGTGCTGTTTAGGGTGGAGTGCGAGGCTATATAGGCACAAAGATAGATATATGTATATATATATATATAATATCTATCTATGCTCTTCACCTCACATCCGAACCATGGGCCCCTTAAGGCCTTAGGGTGTGCAATATCGGCTCTAAGACTGCAGGAAGGGATTTGGCAAAGCAGGAGGCCCCAAGTCTGGAATTTAGGGTTTAGGATTGTGCCGTGCCCTATTAGCTAACTCTAGAAATCGTGGAAATAATAAAATTGGGAAAACCATGCAAAAAAATGGCAAAACCCAATGCAAAGGAAAAAGCAAACAAGCATTAAAAAATCCAGAAAAAAAGCAGCAAGCCAACCAGAAAATGCGCTCAGAAAAGGGAAAACAATGCAAGCAAAAAAGCAAAAACAATGCAACCCCAAGAAATTGACGAGCAAATAGAAATTCTGATTTGCATTTTTTCGGATGCATCAGATTCCCTTTATTTTTGCTTTTTCCCTGAGAAAAAAGCAAAAAAAATGCAGCGACCAATGCAAAAACAATGGGCCCAAAAAAGGGATTCGCTATTTTTCGGAAGCCTCAGATTTCCTTTGTTTTTGCTTTTTCCCTGAGAAAAAAGCAAAAAAATGCAGCGACCAATGCAAAAACAATGGGCCCAAAAAAGGGATTCGTATGTTTTCGGAAGCCTCAGATTTCCTTTATTTTTGCTTTTTCCCTGAGAAAAAAGCAAAAAAAATGCAGCGACCAATGCAAAAACAATGGGCCCAAAAAAGGGATTCGCATTTTTTCGGAAGCCTCAGATTCCCTTTTCGGAAGCCTCAGATTCCCTTTATTTTTGCTTTTTCCCCGAGAAAAAAGCCAAAAAAAATGCAGCAAACAATGCAAAAACAATGGGCCAAAAAAAGAGGAAAAAAGGAATAGCACATTGGCTTTTCAAACCTGCCGCTCCTTTTTTGTTGCTTTGTTTTTGCTTTTTTTGCGAAGAGTCTTTGCATTTGTTTTGCATTTGTTTTGCTTTTTTCCAAAAGGACCATTTGCTTTTTTTCTTTCGGAAATTTCATTATTTTCAAAAATTCTAGAAGTAGCTATAGCGCACGGCACATGTTTAGGATGTATGGTTTTTTGTTGTAGGGTTTGCCCGCAAACCTCAAAAAACATGGTGGTGGTGCAGAAGAATTAAAGAGGTTATCCCCCTGATAACCGTCTCTGACACACACCCAGGACCCTATCCTGATCATCTAACCACTTACACCCGGAACTGCGCTAAACCCTCACCCCCAAAACCTTGCACCCTTAAGCCCTGAACTCTTAAAACCTAAACCCTAAACCCCTCAAAGTAACCCCGAAGCCTTCGCCGAAACCCCCCAAGATGACACTGCGTTCTACCATTTCCTTCATTACTGTTGCCCAAATGATACTCTCAAATCCTGAGCAAGCGTAATAAACCCTAAGCCTATAAACCCTAAACCATCCTAAACCCTAAGCCCTAAATCCTAAACTCCAAACTCTGAACCCTAAACCCTAGATGAATAATTTCATCCCCTGCGTTTATGGCTTCAGCTCCTGCACTTCGCTCCGCTCGTAGTATGCCTTAGCCCATATTACCCCAGGAAGCAAAAAGGATCCTTTTTACAGAAATATAAGGAACCCCATACCCCAAAAAGTATAAAGGAGCCCTAACATTGATCCAGTTAAAGCCCTAAACCCTAAACCCTAAAACCCTAAACCCTAACATTGACCCAGATGCGCCGAAGACTTTCGGGACAGAGCCCGCCGTTGTCGCAGGGTACGGGTACCAAGCGCCTCAGACTTCAGGGAGACTGACCCGGCATAGGTTTAGGGCTTAGGATGTAGGAGTTAGGGGTTAATTTCTAAGCGGTTCTAGGGTTTAGTTAAGGATTTAAGTTTAGGATTTAGGGGCCTAGGATTTTAGAATAAGGGCGATTCAGAGGGAACAGGAAGTTCGGGGCTCAAGGTTTGGGACTTGACAAAAGTTTAGGGGTTCAAGTTCAGGATTAAGTGATTCAGAAATGTCCGACAAAAAAAGTGTGATAGTGACCGCAACAGTCGGGGATTGAGGTTAAGGGGCACCCTAAACCCCAAACCCTTAAACTAGCGTTTATGGGCTGCCTCTTGCAAAAATGAACCAGAAACCCTGATCAAGGCCTTCAGCCCCTAAACCGCCAGACCTCAATGTACAAGCCTGAAAGATTACAAGCATTGTGCTGAGGTCCATGTGAGGTGTATACCATAAGTATACAAGGACTCTAGGACCATGATAACAGTCATCATACCCAGGCCCGGCGCAACCCGGCGGCAACGCAGGCATCAATCATCGCCAGGAAAGTGTACCTTGGAATTGGCAAGCTGGCAGACATACAGGCACACACCCTTAGTGGGCTCTGAGACCATTGAACCCAATACTTTAAACCGTTGAGGGTTTAGGACTGTAGATTACAGAAACCATCACTGCCGCTTCAAAGCCACAGAACATGCCAAGTAACTTGCGAAAGTCTTGATACTGCCCCTATGCTATACCAGTGACACGTGAAACGTTAAAAGAGGGGTAGTATAAACCCTGAACACGAAAACCCTGAAACCCTTGATGACAGGGTGGGCAGGGAATGGTAACAAAGCTAAGTGGCTCTTCCACAAGGATGGTATCACCTGGATTGAGGAACCTTGGCGTGGCCGTGGTTCGGGTTTAGGAGATTACGGTTTAGGGTTTAGGGTGTAGCGTGTTAGATTTTTGGGTTTAGGGCGCTAGGGTTCAGCGTTTAGGGCTTCAGGCTTCAAGGTCTCGCGGATGAGGGTTGAAGGTTTGAGCATGCCGGTCGGGAATTTACAATCTTTGGCACATAAGGTCTACCTGCAAATGCTCAGGCTACTTGGAATCTCCATGAAGTTCCCTATACCTGTATGCATGAATGCATGCATGTGTGCAGAGAGACACAGAGATATACATAAAAGTATGTACATAATATGATATGAGCCATAGTCTAAACTCCTAGCTTAGACTGTGTATAGGGCCTACATTCAGGGCCTCCCTGGCCCTTTCAGCACCGGTCAGTGCAGGGTTTGAGGTCCTTGAGGACAAGTAACGAAAAGAATGATGTCTGGATTCTTAGGCGGCTCTTCTTCTGCATCTCCTGTGATTAATGCACCAATGCAGGCTTCAGGGTTGAGGATGGTTTAAGGTTTAGAGTTTAGGGTTTAGGGTTCAGGGTGTGGGGTTTAGGGTTTAGGGTAAAACAACTCTAAACCCTAAACCCATCAGATAAGCAGCATAGCTATAGCAATGTCCAAGGAAGACATGCTCCCGGCGCTCAGCGCAACAGTCCAGTCGTCGCACGCTGGCTTGCATACCTGGTTGGGCCGGTGGTCTCTGTAGGTTTAGGGTTAAGGGTTTAGGGCTTAGGGTTTTGTGTTTAGGGTGTAGGGTTAAGGGTTTAGGGTTTAGGGTTATGTATTCTTTACATGATACAGTTATAGTATGTTCGTTAAAGGTCTCTTGTACACTCCCTGTATATCCCCCTGTAGGTCCCCCCAACCTGACTTTAGTTCGTAGCATACATGATACGATCAATATACGTCATCTGCCCTGGAACTCTATCCATCTTTCGCTGGCTATGAGGGGGGGTAGAAAGCAAAAAATAAAATATATTTTCAATGCTCCCGGAGTAAGATAGACTTGCCAAAGCACTTTCCTACCCGCTGAGTCACTGTAGGGGCCCCTCGGAGCGGGCTGTGAGATTCAGGGTTAGGATTGGAAGCTCCCTGCGTAGGGTCTAGGATTCAGAATTCAGGGTTTGAGGCTTGGGATATAGAAATTCTAAACCTAAACCCTAAACCCTAAACATTCGGGCCGACTTCATCTCAGCTTTGCTTTGATCTCTCTGTACCTGCCTTTAGAAGACTGTTTGCAGGCTATAAGGTTTGAGGTTTAGGGCTATAGTCCCCCATAAGTAGATAGAATATGGGGTATGTGGGGATCTTATTTAAAATGCCCAAAGCCATACTCTATCTACTTAAGGGGGACGATGGGCTTGGGCACCCAAAACCCCTAAACCCCTAAACCCCAAACCCAAGGTTCCGGATTTAGGACTCATGGTTCCGCTTTGCAGCACGGGGGCTTCGAAAGCAGGCCTCAAGGACCGTGACCAAAGCCCTAAATCAAAAAACAAATTCAAACACAACAGTACTAATGCTACCAATACGAATTCTTATAATACTAGCAATAAAAACAATAGGGCTCTGTGAACAACAACCTTTGGGGCGGGCGGGGGAGGGGGGGGTAGGCGAGGGGGGGGCGGGTAAGGCGTATGTTAACCTTAACCCTAAACCGTGCGGCTGGTCCTGAAATCTAAGCAACCTAAGATTTTGGCCTTAGCCACTATTTGCACGGATAGCTGTGTCATAACATCGTTTTCACTTGCATGTCGCCAAAATATACAAGGAATCCAAGCATTAGGGGTCTCTTTTTGCTTCTCTATCATAAATGTGATAGTTGAGGGGGTGTCAAGAGGACACCACTATCTCAAAAAACCCTTTGTCCTTGTCATTGGGACTACAAAGAGACACAACGGTACCTGTAGCCCCAGTTACCTACAGCTGTATGGACTATACCTACTAATTTGGCGAGGGCAGTTCCTGCTAGAATGTAGGTAGTTGAGGCTGCACGTAGACCCTAAACCCTAAACCTACCTAGTCCTAAACCCTCAGCCGGGGTACTTCGCAGAAGCCAGCTGACGGGAGCGATGGGTCCCTATAATATCTCCTAATGACCCAAAGAATAGGTTTAGGGTCTGACTAGGGTTTACGGTAGTTCCCATTTTCCATTCCCTAAACGCAAATCATGTAGTGCCTGCCGTTTGTTTTCCATTCCTTACCTCAACTCCCACCTAAGAACCAGCAAGATCAGAGTAGCTGCACTTTGCATGTGTTCACCGAGGATGCTCTTCCTTTGGCGCGCTTCAAGGTTTTAGCGTTCAAGGGCTTGGGGTTTAGGGTATAGGCTTTCATGGCTCAAGGGCTTATACCTGTACCCCCGATCACCTAGAGCTTAGTAGTAACCACCCCCACAAGTAGTAGCTAAAAATCAAGAAACTTGTAGGTAATTTTGGGTCACATGTTGCATGTTGCATGTAGGGTTCTGGCGGTTTGAGGTTCGGGATTTCAGAGGTTTGACGTGCAGGGCTCTTGGAAGGGGTTGCTCACCCTAGCCGGAATCTAGACAATCAACAACACTTTGGAGTTTATTGTGATTTCGAAGGAATTTACAATCATACAAGATAAGAACCAATGTCCGGATGTATCCCATGAAGGCTTCTGCAACGCGGCTTCTGCGAATTCACAGAAGTGGTTTTGCCCTGGATATGGCATGCATTGTGGAAGACATCTACCCACAGGAACACAAGCTGTTCACAAATGCAAGACCCCTAAACCCTAAACCGAGACTGCTGGCCGAGCTGTCAAATCACGCTCCCTTCTTGGAGTGTAACCCTCAACGCTAAGCCGCATAAGTGGCTCATCATTGTGCGAGGGTCGGGAAATTGATTTTGACAGCTGGCCTCCTTACTGGTGGCTAGCAGCGCATTTTTCTGAATAAGAGGTGGCCACTGAAGAGGAAATCCTAAACCCTAAAGCAGCTTCCATGTTCTTTACCATTGCTCCATGCCCTAGCATGCACCTGTAGGCCTCCTAAACCCTAAACCCTAAACCCTAAATCCTAGACCCTAGACCCTAAAAATCATAAGCTTAGCTTAGATTCAGCTGCCCCCAAGCCAAAGCCGGGTATCGCTGTGCCAGCATCGTTGACGCAGAGTCAATGTTTACCGCCCTTGTTTGCCGAAGATCAGGTTTAAAGTTTGAAGTTTTAGGGTTCAGGGTTTAGGGACGAAGCAAGCCATAAGGACAGACAAACAAACAACAGGACATGCAAGTTCTTGTTCGCCTTTTCTGGGAAAGTGTCTACTGAAGCCCTAAACCCTAGACCCTAATCCCTAAACCTTTAACCCCAATCCCCAAACCCTAAACCCCGAACCCTCATCCCTAAACCCTGAACCCTAGACCCTAAAACCGCGTGGTTTGACCTAATTACCAGCTTGGGAAGGTCCTGGGCTAAGGATTCAGAGCACCCGACATCCCATTTTCCACAAAAACCTGGGCAAGACTTACGGTGGATACTAAAAATCCTGCATTACCCTAGGTACCTTATACCTAGGGAAGTATGGTACTACAGTATACTAAGGTCATGCAGGATTTTTAGTATCAACAGTAGTACGCCCATTTTATGGTATACTATTGAACTATATATGAGAATACATTACAGTATGTTACAGTTTATTATAGTAGATTATAGGAGATTATAGTATGTGATGGTAGATTACAGTATGTTGTAATACATTATAATATATCATAATGCACTGAAGTATACTATAGGATACTCTACTTCATTTTTCCCTAAGAATTTTCATATGTATTATAGTGCTTTATAATACATTATAGTATCTTATAATATATTATAATATGTCATAGTAGTATGTTATACTTACTACTCTTGATTACTACCTATGTGCTGAGTGGACAGTTGACATACCCCTCGGATACTACAGTTCTTGGACTCGCCTTCCTCACGTCATCCCTACACCATCCTCATAAGCTTTCTAGGAAGTTTGCAGACCACAGATTCGCTGCCCAATCTTCGACAGTAGGTATAATATACCACTATAAAATATCAATGTATACTGTAATACTATAGAATACTGAAAAGACTATAAAAAAAAGACTATAGACTATTTGAAAGCCTGGCCACTGAATGCCGTCACCCGCATCCTTCACAGTGAAGCTTATCGTATCCAACGGAAGGTACTCGTCTGGTGGCACCTGAGCCATACAGAGCCCGACGTAGCCAGAAGAAAAAATGAAACAAGAAAAAGAAAGTCATGTCATGAGGACCATAGAAACCAAAAGAACAGACAAACACAATAATGACAACGCTAGCGTAGCAACTCTCATACCGAACGAGGTCATACCCACTAAGCTACTAGGTTAGTGCTTCATATGTCTGAAGTTGCGAACGCAACTTCCCATCCACCCCAACCCCGACGCCCACCATTCACCAAATATCCCTACAACGACCAGCCTCACGATGTGGCAACTCGTGGGACATATGTTACACCACAAATCCTAGACCCTAAGCCCCAGGGATAGTGAGCCTGGGCTTCCGGCCCCTTTGCACAGCACCACATTTTTCGCGTCCTTCATCAGAGGGAGCAGCTCGTCAAAAGGGTTGTCCGGCTGGCGCTGCACACGAAGCGACAGAGAGGAACCTGGGTTTTGGGTTTTGGGTGGCACCTACCCAAAACCCTAAGCCCCAATGCGTTACTGTGCTTAGCAACAGGAAAGGACATAAAGACTGCAATGTTCTGATTGCCATGTGACAGGGCTTACGGTTTTGGGTACTTGGAGGGTCGGGGGTACCTGGCAAGTGTACGTCTTACCCCTATAAGCCATAGATTAGGTCCCCTGAGGCTCTCAGCACTGGGCTTACTGTAAACTGACTCGCGCGCACCGCATGAGCTAACTCCATTTTGATCGAATGGAACACTCTCTGCTCCATCGACTTATATACATCAATATCAGACGCTCAACAACCCACTCCATCGGCCGTCTTTCTCAGCACCACGCCCTCACAGGAGGTACCCTCTTGCAGCTCCGTTAGCGGTTTTAGGCGGCGCAAGTTCAAATGGAGTTCAACAGCTGTTCCATACAACGCCCACTCATGTTCAACCGTATAATCATAACAATAATTGTAATAATACTAGTAATAGTAGAAATGTAATAATACTCAAAGTAATAATTATGGTAGTAATTATCGTATTTGCTGCTAGGGCGTGGCGTTGTTCACCTTCAGCTGAAGAACGGAACTGCTGGGTGTCCATATAATTTCCTCTGGTTCCTATGATGCTCCTATAGAGCCCCCACTTGCGTACACAAAAACCCTTCATGATGTCCAATAAATTCCGGTCCCGCATGAATAACCAAGTGGAATACCCTAACCATTAGCCCTAAACCCTAAACTGACAGCTCAAGTGAGTTGCTGGACTTTGCCTCTGCCTTCAAACCCTAAACCTTAAACCCAAACCTTATGAAATCCCGATATAACCCTTACAAACACACACATATATATTCCCTATACAACCCTTCTAAACTCATAGATATAATCATATATACCCCTATATGACCCTAAAACCGCCGAGTTGCTGGACTTTGTCTCTGCCTTCATACTTTGCGCGAGCTGCTGCAGGCTTTGC